ACCCTGCGTGGTGGAGCACATTCCAACCGAGTTACACATGTTTGACGTTAATGAACGTCTATTAATAAAATCATATTGAAGCAGAATGATCCGCAATGATGACTATAAAATTCAAGAACATAATCATAAATTGGTTTGGATTACAGCAGCGATTTCGTTTACGCAACGCACGTCTCTCTCTTTGCACACGTCGCTCTATGCACAACGACAGAGGATTCATCAAAATCGATTAATCGATTTTTTCTGCTCTGGCATTTTTTTTCTCGCAATTTTCCTTCATCCAATCGTGTGTTTCCATATTATAATACAATGGCTTCGATGATCGAAACCATTTTAACTATCATATGACGAAATTGAATTGAATAATTTAATAATGAACTAATAAATAATATGGATGTGAGTCAATCAGGTATTCTTCACGCTTTTAGGCGAAAACAAAGGATGGATTAGCCGCCTTAATGGTTCTTCGATGTTGTTTCCTTCAGCGGTGTCAAGTTAGGATATATTGCGTGTTTTTGTTCCAGACACAACAACCTCCTTCCAAGAGAGGGGTTGTTCATCTGAATAATTCCAATTGTAATAATAATACGCATTACTTACGCTAATCGCGATACATTCGTCTGGCTTCGATGGAAACATTGTTTTATTCATCACTGGGACGGAACAAAATCGGCTTTCATGCTTTTCGCAGGGAATCAATGCCAATAAACTTGCATCATATGAAATTAGTGAAGACATTTGACTAAACGAAAAACACACAGTTTAATGTCAATCTTTCTATTTGGCCTAAGAAATGCTGATCAATGATTCACTAGGCCTACGAGTGGATTCTGAAATTTTTACGCATAAGTCAAATAAATCGAAACTGCTCAAATTGATGCTTGGAATGACTCGATAAAAAGGAAAATGGAAGCATGTGCACGCAATATATGCTTAGCCAACAAATTTGGACACGTGTAACTTCTAAACTATGGAATTTTCGTTTCGATCGTTCGCATCAAAAATGAATCGTTTTCAAATAAAAAATAACAATAAAATAATAATAAAAAAAACACAAAAATACAATGTGTAAACAATTAAAGAATCGGAAACTTTCTACCATACCACGTTACATTCGAAGGAATTCTGGTTAATTTTTCCGCTTTTCTTGTAAATAATAAACAATATAAGCAAGTTCGTTTGATTTATTTTTGCTGTCTTCGTTAAAGTTCGATGGAAATCCGACTTTACAAGAATGTTGGCCGACTTTGTTTCTTCTTCGAAATTTCTTTCTAATTTTCAATCCATACTAATCGCATTGAAATGTTATGTATTTGTATTCTTTGCTTTGCAAAAACATTTTCCATCCAATGTTTGTTTATTATTGAACATTTGCTCATTTTCCCATAAAAAGAACGGCGGAAATGAATAATTCAATATGCTTTTACCAATTTATTTTGTTTGTTTCGCTTGAGCTTACTTTGCAAATCGATTGGAGAATGAGGGTAGCGCATTTGCCTGATTTGAACGTACTCCATCGTTATCAGCATAAGGTATGGGGGCAAACGAATATTTTCAATCACACAGCGAAATGTGTCATGTCAATGATGAACAATCGAAAGGGAAATCGCGCTTTTGTTCGTGAAATCATTCTGAATTTTTTTTAAATGTATTGTTATGCTTTTCTACCGTCCAGGGAGCTATTCTTTTCATGATTCACCTGACACATTTCGCTGTGCGAGTGAAAATATTCATTAGTCATTATACCAAATTTATTGATCGAATTGAAATATTTTTTGGAAAAAACTGACTAATTTTAAATAGTCAACAGTTCTAAGTTGATAGGACATGCATTACTGGATTTTTTAACTGCAGATGAGCAACCAGTTAAATTTGAAAACAGTTTTTTTTTGAGTGATTCGTCCAAAGGAGCAAAATTGTCCAGACACATACAGCGAATGGAATTTCCATTTTCGGTTGATTGATTTGAACTTAACAATATCGAGCTATCTGTGCATAACTCTACTAAGAAAAAAAAGTCATTTATATCGTCAAAAAGTTCCATTTTTCCAGTCGTTCTCCACCCGTATTTTGCTATTCGCATTTTATTTAATAATTCAAATTATCCGTTCCGATTATTGATCGAGAGAATGATTGATGTTTGTTCTACTTGAATATGTTCAATTTGAATATCAAGTGAGCCCAGATTGAAATAGAAATGCCGAGCAGCATACCAAATTCACCTAAAAATATACAAATTAACTAATGTAGTACAGCATTTTGTCGGCTCATTTTCTGCACGCCCACCTCGTCATTGGTAATTATGGTTTTGGTTTTGACACAGCGACAGCAACAAAAATTAAACCCAATTTAAATAATGGGAAAAAAAGTAATGGATATTTAGGTAGAAATCTATTGTGGCTTATGAAATTATAAACAGCTACATCAATCACGGTGGACACCAACAGAATTGATTAAATAAATTTGTGGAGCACAACAATGGAAAGTGTCATGGGTGGTAAAATAAACGCATGATGCCATTTAAGCAACATCGAAATTTAAGTTAGATTTCTTGCGTCAAAAATACATTCAATACGCGCACATGATTTTGCTTTGTTTTTTGTTCGCAAAATGATTTTCTATTGAATTGTAATTCAACGCAAATTCAAAACTTTCTCTCGTGGGAAAATCCCAACATTTTATTGAATGCAATTTAAAATCGTTGAATCGAATTCTGGAATGATATTGACATTGTTGCTATGTGACACACACGAGCTGATGAAATTTAACACAGTACCAATTAAGTAAACATAAACATTCATTTGTAAGTCACGAACCGGCGTGCAATTACGCTTCCAGATGAGATTTTAATGATTCAATATTGACGAGAAGAGAAGCGCAAAATGTGCAAACAATATTGTCAATTAATTGTTGTTTCAGTCGCACAGCCATTTGAACTTTATTAAATATACGAACAAATGGCCATTAATTACACATAGATGTATATACAATAGCAGGCAACGAAGAAGAGTGTCGAGCTGTAGATTTTAATTTGAATGCCAATGAAATAATAGTACCTGTGGCTGTGTTCATTGAACATGGACAACACACAATAATTACATAATAACATCGAAATGATTGCAGGGTATCATGAATGTCAATGAAATGGCGTATTCATTAAATGTGTCTGTGATTTGAGGCGAGACACATTTATTTAGTTCAATGTTTGCATAAAACACTTGGCGTGGCTTCCATGGATGTGACATTAAACTTGAGCATTTAACTTCGATACATTAATGTATTTTCGTGTTTTAAAACGTAAAATCTAAAAAAAAAAAAGTTAATTAGAAGCCACAATAATTGACGTCATATAGACTATTTGACATCATCGCGTGTAACCAAATTGAAAAGAGCCAAACACACAAACAATACAGTTCCATTCATACAAATCATAATAAAAATCAACTTTGTGGCTGCTAAAATAAAGCCATATTACGTCGATGCATCATTATCATCAGTAAATTGCGATAAAATGAATTCCATGAAGCATAACTATAAATACCATTTGCAAACCATGGACTCTGAACCGACACACCGATGGTATATCTGTGCATTACATGTACGCTTTATTGTATTAAATAAGCGTTGTGTGTTAGATTTGTTCAATTGAATTAGATGGGACTTTCTTGTGTTGTGTTTCTTTTCATTTCATGAACAATGGGCGCTATTGTCAAGGCAAACAACAAAATGACGGTGACGCAAAAAGTTTATGGCAATAATAACTGTAAGTCAACCAGACGATTGTTGAAAACTATGGTAGATAAAAAAAAAGAAATGAAGAAAGGTCGCCTTTATTGCATTCACTCCCATTGTTCATGCTATTTCAAAAGTTGAATTTGCGATGAGTGCTTCTTAACTTTGAAATGAGCGCGAGAACCACTAGAGTCGCAAACGTACAATAGCCACATAATGGTATGTGTGAAAGAAGAAGAATGTCATACACAAATCTATCTCTTTGGTATGATTGTTCCTTGGAAACTTGAAGCAGATTATGCATGGCTCTTTTCATGAAGGGGAAAATGATAGCCGATAACCTTCTATTCGCAATGAACAAAAACATATCGATTTTTATTTTCCTTGTTGCGATAATATCGAAGAGTTGTGTTAACGCATAACTTTATTTTCTCATCCAAATTGTATACAAATTATTTTGTACGCGAACTTTTAGTTTGGCATATGATTGACATCTCTCTCTTCAATGTCTTTTTTATTTTAATGGTGTTCGGTCTCGTTTTGGCATGCAATCAAATTAATTTGCTTGATTCTTCGGCAAAATTAGGCTTCGACGTGTACATGCGTGCAAAAGAACATAAAGAAAATCTCATTAAACTTGGGGAGTTGATTGTTGTGCTTGTGATTGACAGCATCTGTTGATTGTGACTGCCGATATATATGTATATATTGATTGAAACGAATAAAGTAAACGTTTGAACCATGTGAAATGGAATATACATCGACACGAGGTGTTAACGCTGATAACCTCGAATGACTATGACAATTCATCAAGGCAAACGCTTTCAAACTCTTAATAACTCAATGAACAATGAACATGACAATCGATAATTGGATCACCACATAAATTACAAAGCGATGAAAAATGAAAATCGATGCGAACCCAACACCATGTACTACATATGCTGCCAAGTTCACTTTTTCATTTTACTTCTTTCGCTTTTTCGCTTGTTCAAATTCAATTTTCATCGTACGAAAATGTTTGCAGTTATGAAATAGCGATTTGGTCGTAAATTTTTTTTTTAATAAGTAAGATGATAAGGTTGTGCGTTATTAGCGTCGAAATGGCATAAACATGAATGTGCGCTAATATTTACGTTTCAAACAGTGAAATTACCCAAAATTCTTATCTTCCGCCGAGGATAAGCATTTCTTTTTCATCGTCATGCGTCTGTTGGACAAATTGCAAATGAGATTGAGTAATTGTTGTATGTCTTACGGTTTTACAGTAGATTTCGGTGCAACAAATGGAAAATTTCATAATAATGTCGACGAAAAGAACTTGTGCGAGCGACGCTAAGAAATAATGGAAACAGATCGTAAAATTCATATAAAATCAATTTTATCGTGGAATTCTCCGAAGCGGAGCGACATAAACGAAGGGAAACAGAAAAATTAGCGCCCATAACGTGGTCGCTGTGAATAAAAAAAAAACAACATTTCATTAAAAATGATGCACGGAATGAACAGCAACATGTTTCAAGGCATCGAACAAACCGACGACAGCTTATACTCCAGCAAGGAAAATGATGAGTCAGACGTTGAACCGGGTGAGTTTCATTTTGACAATCACATTTTTATTCGTCGCTTTTTTTCTCGCAACTTAATGAAAAATTGTTCCATGCAATCTAAAAGTTTGCAAGCACAACAATTTAACGAGCAATTAGCTACCAAATTTAATTTTATGGCCTACTTTATAGGTCGACGTGTGTTTCAGTTGCAATTTAAATACTTTAATGTTTTTAATCCATCCCACTTAAATGAATCGACGGAAGAAAACTCTTTTCACATACTTGAAAATATAGAATATAGGTACTCTATATATAGATACTTCGTTTTTTACGACGATAATAATATTTTCCCTAGAAAACCTAAATCTTTTATTTTCAGATTTATTTTAAACTCGATGTATAGAGCATCAAACACTAAATAGGGTGGACCGATTGACTGATATAATAGATCCAATTTTTGTAAAATGATTGCGCCAATTCAAGCTTTTCCATGAACTGGGGTTGATCTCGAGCGTGCAACTTATCGTCACTCTTCGAAGGTCAAGATAGAGGATTGTGACTAAAAACCCATGTGAAAAAATTGTGACTGTGTAGCCAGCCGCTTAATTCCAAACTTTTTGGCTGATTATCTCGAACAAAATATTCAACTGTAGTCAACTTCAGTTATAGCTATAGTCATCTAGTAGCCATAAAGTCCGAAACTAGACAACTGACTGAAAGAATAACTAAAACTGTCTGTTTCTATACAACATTTTTGAATTCAATCCACTTAGCCAGTTTTAGTTATTTGCAGCTACATACACAGTTGACTGTTAGTCACTTTATTTGCACACGGAACCATTCAATGTCAATCAAGACATCCTATCGAACATTGCGGAAAATTGCAAGTATTTCGGTTATACTGAACTTACTACGTAAGAATTGTGATTCCTTCATGAAAATTGGTAGTCCTTTTGAGAACTTGTCAAACGAAAAACTTTTAAATACCAATGTAAACCAATAAAGTACCTTTTCGTTTGGCAATTGAAAGATGATCTGGATTACATTCACAAAGAGGAATTCCATCAATCGACCAAATTGAAGTTGTGCCAAAAGAAGCTATCAAAAGGAAATAAATTGTGCGTAAAGTTCGGGTAAAGTTCATGACGTTGATTGCTCAAGCAATGCTCAGTGACTTTTGAGAGCGAAAAAAGATCATCAAGTACGAAATAAACTGGATATAAAGCAAATTATGCATTTGAGCTGACATTGATGCACAGAGTGTTCAAGTGTGTGTAATTTATTGTTCATGAGCCTCGATCGTTCCAATTGAGCGCACACTCGCTCAATAAATTTGGCAATAATCTAAATAAATGCAATAATTTTTCGGGAAAGCCAGCCAGCAGTCAGCGACCTGAAACCCAATCTTAATATTTAGTCATAAAAAGCACGTTCAATTGATGCCCATTAAACAAATGGCTTCGCTGCAAAAAAAAATTGGTCACGCTCAATTTGCTTGGCAATTTCTCAACTTCTCAAATAAGCGGAGCCGTTGGCAATAAATCTTGAGTGTCAATTCGTGGAAATCTATAGCATTTAAACAGTCACCAGCAAAAATAAGAGCGAAAACGTCTAGTCAAAACACACAATGATCTAATGAATTACTTCACAGCTGGCGAGTGACATATTCGAATCGAACGCATTTTATTATCTCATCCTGTGTGGCAATAAAATAAAACTGTGCGAAAATGGCGAAGTAATCAACCAGATCTTCTTTTTATTCAATTGGTGTGCCATCAACTTAATTTTACCCATGATGGACTGTACTTAATTTTTACAATGGAATAGTTATATCGACGATTGTAACAATCGTAAACACTCGGTTCAATACGCAACGTTTGTTCGTCGACGCATTTTGAGCTATTTTAGCCAACAAATCAGAACACAGAGATTCGGTGAAATTTTTGAATTTTTCGTGTGCAAATGACCAAATTGTATAATCATGTTTAATTAATGCTGATAATGACAATAGTAGAGATGACTGCTTCATTTAGTCTAGGTTTTCAAGATGTGCGAGGTGCTTCTAACTACGTTTACAACAATAAGAACACGGAATAAATAAACTGAATTTAATTTTGGGCCAGTAAACTTAAACAAAACAGAAAATTGGTAGATTCCAATGAAAAAGCTAGAATGAATTGCGAATTCGTAGAATCATTCGTGCGTCGACGTTAGGATTTATTACGGATCCATTGGTCTTTTCTATTGGAATTATATACACGAATGCTTTGGATACATGCTTTTGCGTTTTCTATTTTCCACTTAACGAACACATTCCTTTCGAATGCGCTTGGGCAACGAATATTCCAAAGAACATTCTAAATTCCTGTTTAATAAGAGCGCTTTGAAATAAGTGAAAATCAGCCATTTGGAACAAATAGTAAATGAACAAATTAAAAAATAAACTGAAAAAACATTTGCTTTCGTTTCAATGTTTTTCTCTCTGTGTGTTTCATTCCATACTTGCATGGAAAATCTCAATACCGTTTTATTTTTATACGAAAATAAGACTGGATAATTTCTTCGTTGGCTTCTCAAGCGTAGTACAATCGGATCAAAACAATCAGCAACAATGTTGAATAGAGACATTGAACTAGACCTTGGCATTAATCCAGACACCTGTTCCGCTTCACATATACATAATTAACCGTTTATTTCGTTTCTCATTGATCCACCAACGAGCGAATGGTGTTGCACAAACGAATTGATAGAAATAATGGTTGGTATTTATTGGCGTGTAGGGTGTAACCATTCCCATATATTTTTTTTTTTTGCTGATACAGCTCGAAAAGTTTCGCATTATATGTATCGAACCAAATACGTTTGGAAACTTAACAGATCAATGCTGGAATGTGTAACATTGATATTCTCAAGGCGCTCTTAAATTCGCACTCATCCATTTTCCATTTTTATCGCATTTGTTTTGGAAAACCTATCAATCAAAGATGTGGTGTGAATGGTTCGAATGTTTGTTCAAACCGTTTGAACTTTTTCAATCGATACTTCTAACCAGAGTTACAATTGTGTACATTTTACAGTCGAACGGAAGACTTTAATCATTGCATTAAAATCCATTGAACATTTTTTCTGCATAAGACGCAATGCCACAATGTTGATTCCAACATTAATATCATGATCTATAAAAACTAATTTCATCTCGGAGACTGAACGAATTGTGGATACAAATGGAGAAATGAAGATAATGAAGTATGATTTTGGATAGCTTTTCAGATAGCGATAAAACACGATAAGCATGTTAGACGGTTTGCCTCATTTTCTCTTTTTCCATGGCAAATGAATGGCCCTTGGAAAAGCAATTTGCTTCGTTAAGCTTGAGAGAAAATTCCCAATTGCTTAATTGTTATCATATTTATAGCAGCTAGATAAATACACCTCCGGGTGCATACACTTTGTTTGGCAAATTCATGTTCATACCAATCCAAACGATGTTTGTTCGTTCTTTTTTCTTTACCTCGCTTTTGCGCTCCTTTTTTTCGGATGGCTCATTTTATTCAACACTGGTATTTGTGTAAACCCACACAGCTTACACGGTTCGTTATTTTTCGCTTACACAAGAACAATTGCAGAACAGACGCAGAACAAAAGCAACATTTTAATTTCGTATTAGTGGCGGAGAAAACGCAAGTTGAACATTTCACTTGTAATGAAAAAGCTGAATGCTCGTTGCAAGAAGACTTATCATAAATCGCTTACCGTTTTCTGTTCATGCAAAAATCTGCTTCGACTGTTGCTTGAGGGCTGCATCTGTACAAATTGTTTCATCATCGTTAACCCCAGAATACGTTTGCTATCCGTTATTCGTCGTCGTTCTTCTTTTTTTCGCCTTGATATTGCGAAATTATCTCCTTCTGAGTTGTGACTCCCTCTAGTGCCATGGATCCAGCCATTTTATTGCCTTAGTTTTTGTACACTGGTACAACGAGTCGAACAACAATTTACACGTTGCACGTTAATAAAGCACAGTAATACAATGCTTTGAATATAATGAAGAAATTCTTTATCACAAAATCATGGCAAACATCGTAAAACGGTTGAATCATGTCTGACATTGGTCAAACACGGTTCCAATTCAGTTTTTTTTTCTCCCTTTTCGTTCGCTTCTGTACATCAATTTGTATTTAGATTGCAAATGTAAATAGATGAGCTGTTTGATTCGGTTAGATTTTCGTTCGTTGTTTGCACACTGTGGTTTGCATCAAACATGGATTGGTGGACAAACAACACATGGGATAAACTGTTGTGCGTATCGGTCGAAATTGTATTTGCTTTTCTTCTGTTCTCGATTCAATATCGACGACTTTTTGCACATATATGAAAAATACAATTTTGGAAAAAGAAAAAAAAAACTCTACTTGAATCGGAAGTATGCATCTGAGTGCTGTTGGCGACAGACTATTAGTTGAAACGGCACGCATTTCATATTACCAGAACTATCAACGGCAATATGGTGCACAGACAACGTTTTTCAATAACTCATTGCAGTCCGTTTAAGTCAACCAAACACAGAGTTTTGCGCGTGAACTGAATCGAATTCAAAGTTCGAAACAAGGGTATCGTTTTTTTTTGTTTCAATCGAAATCATTACAATGGGATTTTTCCGTGATTTGTTTGCGAAAATGCTTTTCTTGAAGACTAGGGTGGATCGATAGAACTGCTTTGAACATATTGAAGATTGTTAGTACGGAATCGTTAACTTATGTCCAGATTAATATTTTTGTCTTAAGAGATTTCTCTCCAGAGCTCTCCTGGCTTGCGCAATTCATTTTTGTCCAAGACTTGTCGCCAATTTTGTTCTCCAGTCCATGCAACTCCAGAGTTCACAATTCATAATTTTCTGCTGGTCGAGCATGTCAATAGCATGGAAAGCCAAATTGCCGATAATTTCTTCACAAAAATGAGCTGTGTAAACCAGGATAGAAAATGGACACACTCCCAAGATAAAAAAAAACTTTTAAAAAAGTCAGCTCGCTTTAGCCATT